CCTACATGTTGTTTCCTGGCGCGGTACTTGGTTCAAGGCCATTTAGCCCAGAGACTGAACAGTTCCTTCAGAGTCCTCACCATCTGTTGGGTGAGCACACAGGAAAGCGTGCAACAGAAACCCTTCTGCAAAGGCAGGCGGGGTTTTTTTGCCATTTTTTATATAAATTACCTGGTTTGCTCTTTATTGTTCTCTAGAACATTAAAATCAATTAGAGCCCATTACAAACTGTTTGCTTGCTCGATTTCTTTCGCTAACTCGAAGCACTATGATTGAAGGGATGGGAGGCGAACAAAGGCTGAGACTTTCTTCCGTGCTCTTTTCCGAGCGACGCGGATTGGTTTCCAAAACTTTGGATTCTCTCCCACAAACAGCCCACTGCACCCAGGCAGAGCTTCTAACGCAGAGGATAATTTGTGACCTATCAAATGCCAAGGCGAGAGCAATCAGACCTCTCTCTTTGGGGGTATACACTCATTATCTACAGATGTCAGGAGGAAATTCCCTCCTGTGCACTTGGCTAGATGAATTACGGGTAAAATGCGGTCACCTTCCTTTAAAAGAGCAAAATAATGGCATGAGCTGGGATACTGCTTCCACGTCAGGAGGGTAAACCCCGTGACACTGGGGGGAAAAAAAAAAAATCAGAGAAGAGGTTTACAGCCTTACTGGGTGCTGGCAGATGTATTTTAGGGCTCGGTTTTCTACCAGGTGCTTGAGCATTGTACCCCTTTCCCAAACAGGTTTTACCTTCCCTTGTGAACCCTTCGCCAGCGTGCTGAAAGATGCGGCTAGCACAGCAGATTTGAAAACCGACTTGGCGGTGAGAGAGAAGGTCGAGCAGAGCAATATAATAGTTTGGCATCCCAAAAAGGAGATTTACAAGGTATTACAAATAAAACAACCCAACTGTACATGAGGCAGCTGTAATTCCATCGAGGGAATCTGGCATTTTTGTTTAAGGACCTGCTTAGTCACAAATCTCAATAATAAAAAAGGCAGCCGGGGAGGGGGGCACGGGGAGGGAGGTGTGAAATTCATTTTTATTATTCAGATGTGTGATGAATTCCTATTATTGGAGTAGACAGACTGTGAGGAATAATAATAGGAACTGTAAACTTTGGAAGTTAACAGGAAAAATCATGTCGCCTCTCTGCATTATACACAGAGCGAACACCTGTCTGCAAGGGCTGGGGGACAGCGAGGATTTTCACGACCACATTACTCAAGCTCTGAGTCACCGTAATGAGTGAAAATAAACTGGCTGTGCCAGGCCCTGCACGACACGTATCTGTGCCTCAGCGCGCAGGCAAAGAGCGTTTCAGAGACCCGGGAGATGGGAATCGGGAGGCAATCAGGCAGGACAGTTGCCTGCTTCCCTGGCTTTTGTTTTCTTTCCCTTCCTCATCTCCATCCATCCCTGCTTCTCGTCCCGTTAATCTAGGCAACGCTAGGGGACTCCAGCATCCTCCCTAAGTCTTTGCACAAATACCACAGCGTGGAATTGTTATTGCAGGGATGACATAAGAATCCAGACATAACGTTTAGCTCCCGGGTTGATTATAATGAAATAGGCAGCATTTAAAAAAGAAAAAAAAAAAAGAAAAAGAAAGAAAAGAAGATGAAGAGAGGCCTTCTTACTTCCAAACCCGAACCGATTTGATGTGAATTGCAGAGAATGAGATATAGAGCCCCATGATGTCATTTATAGAGTCTGGCCTTTTCTGACTCCGGCTTCGCTTTCAGAGCAGCAATAGTTTTTAACTTCAAAGAGAATATCAAGTGCTTGGCACGCTGCCTGGGAGCGGGTGCAGAGATGCTGGCCCGCACTCCAGGGAGAAGCCGAGATATGGATCTCTGTCAAATATTCTACGCTACAGAGACGCGGAGGGAGATGTACTCCCTCCTTCCCTCACCGCCATCGCCCTCGCTGCCTGGCTGCAGGATCTTAGCAACCGGGTCCAGCCTGGGTGGCTCCTCCTCACCGCGGAGGCTGCGGAGGCCACCTCAGCAGAAGACACAGGACCAAGGTCTGTCCTGTCCTGCCAGGCACAGCAGCTGGAAGGTGACGGAGCAGAGATCACGATGAAGATTCCCTTCCTTTACATCCTACACAGGTTTTATCTGCTTAGACCTACTTAGGGGGTAGAGAGGATCAGCAAAAGCCATCACTCACCGAGATAGCCCTGTGTTTTCTTCTGTAGTGCAGTTACGGGGCAGTCCTTGTGAGCCAGCAGGAGCTGTTTAAGTTGAGCAACTTCGTTCCTCAGTAGCGTAACTTCATTCTGAGATCGAAAAAACAAACAAACACGCACATACGCATCACTCATGTTCTTGACAGCAGCCTGTAGCAACGGCAGGACATTAATTTATGTGCCCTGCAAACTTACAATTTGTCGTCTAATTTGAGATGCCTCTGGCCCAAGAACACCAAACAAAGTTTCTGGGTTTGGGGAATTTAGTGTGCAAGACATGGACTGCAGCATTTCTTTCCACCGCTGGCTGGAAAGCCCCTCGTTATGTTCATCATCTAATCCTGGACATACATTTGCCTGAACCCTCCTGCTAATGCCAACTGCTTGAGTCAGACACTCTGGCGTGTCGTTGGCTCCGATGGAAAACTAGACGGAGCGAGAAGCTGAGTGTACAACCAGGTCAGCCCACGCAAGGCCGTGGGGAACATCCGAGCTCCTCCAAGCCCTTGGTACCTCTGTGAGCTTCTTCCTTAAATCAGATCTACTCCTCTGAAAACGTCGTGCAGCATTTTATTCCTCTATTGAAATGTTTGGACAAACAGCTGAAACCCAGTCAATTGTATGTCAAAATTGCCCGAGGAAACAGTTTCTATAATTATCTTGGGAAAAGAATAAAAATACCATGATCAGTGCTATTGAAAAAATCCCACCACGTGAGTCACTAGCCACCAATGAAAGAAAAAGCCCAGAATGGACAGAGCCTTTGCAGACCCGTCAATCCTCAGCCAGTGCCGAGAGCATTAACAAGGGGGCTAATGGCAATGGAAGTGAAATCTGTACTTCCAGATGCGCTGCACTTCTGCTAGGCACACTGGGGGTGCTGCCAGAGAGCCACTGGAAAACCTCATTCTCCAGAAAAAAAATCCATGTGCCTGCAAGCGGCAGCTGCAGAGCCTCCCTGCTCACCCCGGCGCCAGGTCCACCGTGCAGGGAAGGGAACTGGGACGGCTTCTGCTGTCCCCGTGCCAGCTGAGAGCTCTCCCTCGCGCAGGGGAGGTTTCCACTCTGCAAATACAGCTGCTTCCTGGGGCCTCCGCGCTCTGCTCCTGAGGCTGGCATTGCTCCTTGAGCTACGGGTGGAGGCAGAGCCTGTTCGAGGGGGACAGGGAGGGAAACGAGAGCACTGAAGTGCTTTTCCCCCATGGCCTGCTCGAGGCAGAGCATCAGGATGGGAAGGAAGGAGGGAAATTTAGGCACAGAGGCAGAAATCCTACTCCAGAGCACAGAATCCAAATGCACGTTGTCTCTGCAGCACGGGGAAGATGTTCCCTCCAGAGCGACGGTCCTAACGCTGGCAAAGGGCTGTGCTCAGCCTCCACGGTTACATACTCACGCTCAGCTGGATGTTCTGGGTCGTGAGCTCCTCGGCTTTCTTCTCCAAGGAAGACACCCAGAGCTTGCGTTTCTGACGGCAGCGGGACGCAGCAGCCCGGTTCCGTTCCAGGAAACGTTGCCGGCGTTCATCAGGGTCTTCGTCAACTGTGCGTCGCCGTCGCCCGCCGGTGCTGGGGGTGGGCTGGGCAGGGGAAACCTGGAGATGGTGCACGTGAAAGAGAGATACTGAAAAAAAGCCAGACACGCGTCAGCATAACAAACTTTGGCAAAGGAGACGCCAGCTCTTGCGGCTGGGGCGAAAAGGGATTTGTTTTTACAGAGCAGCCAGAACCGCACACTGCAGGGACGGACCGAGGGCAGCCCTGGCTGCCACGGGGGAGCTGGGGACAAAACCCCTTTCACGGGTGTTTCTGGCCCTTCCTCAGCTGAGTCTGAAGTGCCCCGCAGACTTAAGGGGTGAATCCACACGAACTCTCTGAGATCCTGAACCCAGTGAACGTGTGAACATCAGGCAAATTGTTTAAATCCCAAACTCCTATGGTCAGCTCGTGGCGTGTAACTGGCAGCAAAAGCTTCCTCCGCTCCGTGCTGAAAAGCTAACATGGCAAATGACCACGGGCAATGCAGGGGAAATGGCCTTCCTTTTAATTTCACTTAAGTGACTTTAAAAAGCACTTCATGCTGCACTGACTTAGGAGATTCCCACGTGGCCAGCAACCACGTATCAGCTGACAGAGGGCTGGGAGCCCTCGATCCCACTGATGCGTATAATGATGCACGGTCAAAGCGACGTCTCCATTTGGGTTCACTAACACCATTTAGGTTCAGCAACTCCATTTGGGTTCGCTACCTCCAACTGGGTTCACTAACTCACTCACTCGTGGAGCACAAATTGCAGGTTTTGAGTGGGTGATTTGCTTTAAAAATTAATTTGGGTTAACTTTTCCCTGAATGTCTTCAGCTAAACAAGCTCTCAGATGCGACTGGTACAAAAAGATTTCGTAACGTCGCACATATTTCCCGGTTTTATTTCAGGAGAACAAAGGAAAAGTCAGTGAGGACAAACGGTCCTGCAGACACAGCCTTGCCGGCGCTTCTGCGAGGGCTCTGTAATTACACCGCCACAATCGGGGAGTGCAGTTACACTTCGGTACTCGCTGTCAGGCAGCATATGGATATTAAACTTTTGGAAGCCTATCTAACTGACGGAGCAGGTGGCGATCCTGATGGAAGGCTGGCATTTGGTTAGCTGGCAGGAGCCAGTGGAGTTGATTGCCTAAGAGGGGAGCGTTTAACCCCAGTAATTGAGCAGGGAGAAGAGAGCAAAATATTCTTTTGAAACTCCAGACCTTGTCAAGCAAATTAACACGTTGCTGAAGTTTTCTGCCTGGTGGCGTTTGAGAGCATTAGTGCTGAAGCGGCACTGAAAAAACAAGGGGTTTTAACCCATTCCACAAGCCAGGAAGCCGCAAGGATTTCCTTTTCTCTCCCTGAGGCCCAGAAACCCCCAGCACCTTCAGCCCAGCCTTGGGTGCTAAGCAGCAGCAGACCTGTGGCTGAGCTGGGGAAGGGGCGTCAGGATGCTGGACAAGGATCTGACTCTGCTCCGGACGTGCGGTCACCATCGTGCTGGCTGAGCCCACCACCAGGTTGCTGCCGTTCAGTGAGGAAGACGCTGTCAAGCTGGCCTTCAGCCTCTGTTAAAGGAGGGGAAAAAAAAGGACATCAGTGGACCTGTTAAGGCTTTAACCAGCTTCTCTAACATTCAAGGAGCCAGGCCGCTGGGGAATGGGCTCTTCGGGGACTGCGGCGGATTCAAATCCAACTGAAAGCCATCACCATCTGGTCTACCCAAAGACAGACAGCGGCTTCCAACTTAGGCTCAAGCAGACAGGTGTCCGCAGCCCAAAATTGCTACTGCAACTGGCACCGATCTGCTCCCCAGCTGGCAGGCTCTGCAGAAAGACCACAGACTGAACTGCGGAGCCCGAACTGCCCTCGAGCACGCGCAGAGTCCTTCTGGGATGGAAAAGGACCTACGGGTGATCAAGACTGCGTCTTGTAAGTTCCTTCTCTGGGCAGCCGGACACATGCCAGTGGGGCAGATGGCTGCTTCACGCCTCGAACAGAGTTTAAGATCTCTCATCCCACTTGTAGCTCTGATCCGCCCATGAATCCTGCAGACACCTAAACAGGGTGCGATGGGAGCAGTGACAATGCACACCAGCGACAGGGAGCAGCACCGCCGTAAGAGGTGGGTTTGCAAACACCTCCACCCTGTCTGTCTCAGACAAAAAAAAAACCCAGGGAGTTTTGCTGCTCTTTGTTTGCAAAGTTAGGTTTGCTTCCCCCGCTCTGCGTGCACCTAGTTTGAGCCACGAAGAGGAAAATTCTTTCGTAAACTTTTAAAGAGGTCTACGTGAAAACCATTACCAGGATCCTCGGATTACAGCGCAACATCTCTTCTCTTGGCTCTGCCTTCCTCAAGCCCACCTCCAACCCATCTGTTATCTTGGAACTGAAAGCACCAGCTTTACAAAACAGCCGCGTTTAGGATGGGGCTGAGGTTTATCTTGACAACAGCGTGCCTGCTCTGCCTGCCAGAGCCGCAGCGCTGATTAGTCTAATATTCCTGGTGGCATTTGCAACACCTGCTCTCGGTGCGGGGAGGCACGCCGACGGCTGCACAGGATTTCGGAGAAGCGGCGGCTCTTCGCGAAGGCTGCAGGGAAAAAGTCTCCAGACGGAATCTCTGCTGGAGGAGCTAGTGAAGACTTAGGGACAACACCGTGGATGCGACACCCTCCCCGGAATGTATTTGGACACTTACCATTTTGGCTTCTGAGTGTACTGGCAGTCCTGAGGGCGAAATGGACCCACTGCTGTTGATGGGTGGTCCAGGAATACCGGGAATGTTCGGCACCATGGACATCGGCCGAGCCAGCTAGCGGGGAGGAAGCAAGGCATGGGTTTTGGAAGCTGAGGTGCTTTCGCAAGCACGCTCAGCAAAGCGGCTCTGTAATAATTCCCCGACTGAGCACATTTATAAATCTTGACAAACGCTCGGCGTTTAACTACTGCCATCAATTACGCCTGCTGTCACCGAAGGCCAGCAGCCACTCCTTTGGTGGCCACGGTGGCTGTTTCAGAGTCGCCCAGCCATACCAACCTAGCGCTGAGGACAGGGAGGAGGGCAGCCCTAAAGCGTCCCACCTTCCCTTCCCTCCCCAAGGGCTTTTCCCCACCAGTACAGGAGCACGGACAGAGAAGGAGGGTACGAGATCCCCTCTGCTTCTCTGCCCAGCTCTATTGCAAAGCTGCTGCAACACCAAGGGTAAGTCGCAGCACCCCTCTGAAACACGGAGAGCTTTCTCCCTCACCAAAGAGGGGAAAAACCAGAATTTACATGTGCTTTTATAAGCCACTCAGGTACACGGTTGCAAAGCACTACAAAGGCAAGTGGTGTTTCAAACGATCAGGAAGGTGCGAAGATGTTTCTGTGCCCACAAGCTATGCCGAGCTGCCTGCTGCCTGCCTACTTTGACGTCAATGTTCCCGTTACCTGAGGCAGAAGGTTTTGGCCATTACTCACTCAAAACCCAAAAGACATGCCCAGCAGGACAGACAGGATTCACACGGGCTGCTTGGTCGGGAGCTGAAGTGCTCGGAAGACGTACAAACCACCCACTGGGCAAATCTGCTCGTGAGTTCTGCACCACGGAAAATTCTCCGTATGCAAAAAGAACAACCCGCAAGGCTGATATTCCTACAGCTCTGTAGCACGCTGGCGAGGTTAGGGTGGCTTTCCTGGCTTGCAAAGACCAGCATGTTCTCTGCAAGCTCGAATGGTTTCAATTGAGGCACGCTGTTCCAAATGGAAGCAGCTAATCAGGGATCCTACGGTTCCCAGCCCTGGATCAATGGCATGAGCCATCTGTCCAGGCAAGGCTTTGTTTTTTTCCAGACTTATTGCCCTCTAGTGTGATCGTCATGTTATTACTACCTTCCCAGAGCTGGCCCCCTTCCTCCTCCTCCTCTTCCAGTCTTATCTTGCACAGAGGGGGAGATATATTTTAATTTTTACAAAATGGAAGTGTCTGTGTATATTTGGCAGGGGAAAAAACATCGTCCCCTCCTCTGCCGCGCAGAGCTGGGTTGGAAGTTTCTCTCACCGATATAACAGAAGGCATCTGTACGGGAGGGCCTGGGAGGACGGGCATGGTCTGTCCGTTTGCAAGCTGCACGACAAGTGGAAGGGAACCTGTGGGAGACCTGGAGAAACAACAATTCAAGTTCTCATGGATTATTTCAGGTTTATGCTGTCCCAGCAGCCCCACGAGCTCAAGGGCAGAAGCACACATTCATTCTGGTTAGGGGATTTGGGCTCGTTTTCCCATTTCTGAAAGGCGTGTTCTGAACAGGGGGTGCAAAGCCTAACTGAGCACACGTTAAGGTAGCTCAGCCGCTTGCACGCTCGCCGCACGGCAGCCAGGACGTGCCGACATCACGCTGAGGCGACGCAGGCTGCCGCCTCTCGACCGGGGCCGGCACCGACGCTGATGACCAACGTTACGACGTGCCCTGGTTAACTCCTGGGCGTACACCGGCTGGACAAAAGCCCCGAGATGCCCACCTAAATAGGCAGAAAAGCACATCCAGAGGCTGCTGCAGCTCCTCCTTGGGGAGATTAAAAGTGTCCTCCCGGGCTGAGCCTGGCAACGGACAGATGGGAGATCTGGGCAGCTGCTCCTACCAGTAACTTCTTGGCCTCTGAGCCACGTCTGCTGCGCTCCCATGAGAGGGTTTGCAAGGATTTAGCTTTCCATTAACAAGAGCTTCTGACTTTGACTCCAGAGAAAAACTCCTAAATATGGAGTCGATGCAGGGCTGGCTTGTGTCTGCACAGACAATGGCTCTGGGAGACGGGAACGGTCCCGCTCACTGCAGGCCGGTGGAGGAGGCGATTGCACCGGAGCCTAATTGTGACAAATTAAAAATATCAAGAACTTTTTCCATCGCAGATCACTTTCCGGTGAAAGGCAGCGTTTCCGCACGTGGTGACAAACGGGCACACACACACTCCTGCTGCCCTTTCAGAGCGTTCGCAAACCTCACCACACTTAGGCTCTGACCCTCCGGACTCAGCCCTTCTGGGAGAGCGAAGGAAAAGCTGGAGCTGATCTGCTCCCGCGGATGGGGAGAGGAAGGAAACCATCCCTGCCAGCAAGGGCTGATCTCCCGCTCCTCCTCAGCTCATGGCAGCACAGCAGGGAGCCGAATGGAGGCAGACACGAGCCAGGAAGAGAAGAGTAGAGCTGCTGGGAGCCTGACTTTGGGGGAGGGAGAAAAGAAATTTGTTGCTGCCTCCTCTGCTGAGCCCAGGGAAGGGGACGGATGAGGCTGGGCTGCCTGGGATCCTCGGAGGAAACGGTGCTGGCGTGGAGTAACGGCAGGGTGGGGAGAAGCAGGGGACGTGGGTCAGAGGGGGGAGTTCATCGTGCCAATAACTCAGGCTGGAATTTTTAAGGCTGCCTTGGGAACGTGAACGCTCGACTCTCATTCATTTCTATTGGGCATCCCAAATCCTCCAGGCTGCTTTGAAAATCCCAGCCTAACAAGGCGAGTTATAGGGAGGTCACAGCCTCCCCTCCATCTCTGTCACGCTGACAAGCCCACCACATCCACCACAGCCCTAACACAGGGACCCTCGTTAAAGCTGCAGCCCCAACTCTCCGTAGAACGCGTTCGACTCTCACACCCTAGGAGGGATCTACCCCCGTGGGCTGCAAAGGGCACATAAAATCATATCAAAGTCTAGCGTACTCCAGTTCTGACTGTTTTTGTGCCTCCAAGCACGAGGGGACTCGGTGTCTCTGCCTGTGCGGGGTTACAGAAGGAACATAATGCCCTTTCAAAACCCCAGGACAATCACTTAACCCCTTAATGCCTCAAGACAGAATTTAAAACTTTCCATCAGGAAGCCTGGATTGATGGTGCCAGAGGGGTCAAAGCAAAAACACACAGAAAAATATGAACTGACAGCTGAAAAAAACGGCTTGGTTAATGTAAGGAGCCAGCCTCAAACAAGGGTAATTAGAAAGAGGCCAGGACCACAGCAAAAAAGAAGCATCCTGACACCAAAGAATAGAAGTGGGGCTAAATATATGTCTCCTGAGGGCGCATTGTAATGTGTTTCCTGCATCCTTCAGGCTCCTTCCTTTTATGTGCAGGGCCAGAGCTACCTAACAGTGTGGCAGGCTCATAACCGCTGCAGCGAGTGCTCTGGAGCCTCCGATCCAGATTGTTAAAGGGGCAAAAAGGAGCAGGTCATTAGATCTGCTGAAACAAACAGCTCCCGAGGCAGAAGCTGACCATGAAGGAGGCCAGCAGGTTGCAGAAGAGGTTACACTTCAGAGGCAACAGCTGTCTGAGAAAATCCCAAAGCTGTTAAAGATCCAGACAATTTCCTACCGTCAGTTTAGCTGAGTTCTCTTCGCCGCATCAGGCTGCAAAAGCAACTTGGGAGTCCCCAGTCAGGCCACGCTCCCATCGTAGACAGCGAGCGTCATGTCAGCGTGGTTGGGGATTGGGTTTAATTTCTCCCTGCGGTGAGTTTTGTCTCGTTTCGTTACACTATGACAATTAGTTCCTGCTTTCTGCACTTACACCCCATTCTGCTTTTGGAGACAGTGCTGCAACGAGGCCCTTATGCCCAAGCAGCCGCAGCGGGAATCGTGGCACCTCAGTTGTTCTGACAATCAAGGAACTTATTTAGGTACCTAATTACTGCCCAGGAAGCCTGACGATACAGGAGAAAAAAACCTGAGCGCACGTTTCCCTCCTCCGTACTTACCCAAGCTGTCTGTTGGAAGGGGGAGCCTGGGTAATGACGGAGGTCGGAGAAGGCAGCGTAGGGTGGAGCGGGTCGTAACCCAAGTGTAGAGGCAGCGAGCCTGGACGCACGATGGTTGGAGTAGGCGTAGAAATGATTACAGGCTTGGAGGTGATCTCCTGAAGAGGATCAACAGACAAAAGGAGACATGCTGTTACTTATTAGTTTAATAATCACCTGCCTGTCTCTTCCTTCTGATGGCTTAAAAGCAATTTAGGGACAATTAAGGCGCCTTTGCCACAGAAAGTGAGGCATGGAGGGGAGCGACTCGGCCACAGCCACGCTGATTTGATGTCAGTGCAGGGAACGGGGCACGGAAATACAGACTCCTGCTGCCTGCAGCAGCCATTGGGATATAATCCCCCTCTCCAAATTACTGCTCCAGCTCCAGCTAACATCTCTAGAGCAGGAAATTATTCAGATGGAGACTGCGTGACCTGGACTAATCTGCTCGGAATCACCAGCCAGCCCCACAGGACACAGGGAGCCGGTCTCAAAGAAGATGCGTTACTTGTTTGGCACTTTTGCCCTGCCAGAAAAGCATTCCCAGGGTGAACAGCAAAGCTTCCTGCATCAGCCAAATCCACGTGGAGACTTAAGGCCAGCAGACGTGTATTTTAGAGATCAAGTTTTTCTCTTTATTTCTAAAGCAAGGGGAACCTCACAAACCCAAATCAGGCCTTGGCACCCAAGTGGAAAAAAAGCTTGTTCTCACCCGGAGAAGGAGAGACCAACATCTCCACAGGGCACGGTCGGGGAGACCTACCTTCTCCTTGTTCGGTGGCGACCGCGGGTTAGACGCAGGGCTGTCTGGCGGGGAAGAGTCCACCTCCACCGGCTCTTCCTCCTTTATCTTGATGTCCGGAGTGGAGGGCAGTGACATGTCCAGGGCTCCGGCATTCTACAGGAAAACCAGCCACGGATTGAAAGGACAATTAGCTCATATTGTTTGTGAAACATTTGGCTGCTCCCAGAGGAAGAGCTACAGCTCTGAGCTCTTGCCAAATTATTATTATTTATTTGTACTGAAGTAGCATCTGGGAGCCTGAGGCGGAGAGCGGTGCCGCGCCGCGCCGGTCCCGTCCAAACAGAGACGGAGGCCTAGGAAAGAGGGTTTCTGCCCCAGATGGCACCATTTTGTGGTTTCTCAGTAACACACATGATTCTTTCCATGAGTTACTTGTTGGTTGGGGTTTTTTTTCATAAAAGGGCTCTGCTAAGGAGAACAGGTAACAAAGCCAAATGCCTGCGAGTTACAGAAGGCACTTTCATTCACAGAAGAGCTGTAAAGCATTGTATAAATCAGCCTGAATTATTTTATTACCCGATTATCAAAAGCAAACAAAGAGCCATGCAAGTTATTAAATATCTATGAGCGCCCCATTAAAATAAAACCCAACCATATGCCTGAACCTGGCAACTTGCCACCACCCTGGGTTCCAGCAGTGCCACGTGCCCCATTTTAACCAGTTAATGACTTGCTGGGGACATGGGAAAAGGGCAGGGTGACAACAAGGGGGTGACACACACAACTAGACTGAGCGGCCACCGCTCCCCTCCCTAGACCTGGACGAAGAGAAAACCTGGGAGAAGATGGCACACGGGAGCACCGGAGGAGCACGCACCGGAGCCAGACTCCAACTGCAGGATGCTGCGTTCAGTTGGGCTCCAACAGACCTCGCAAATCACCCGGTCCCTCTCTCCGTCCGGGGCAGGAGAAACTCTCCCTAAATCAGTCCTGACGGCTGTTTGTCCATCCTGCTCTTCCTCCCTCCGCAATCAATCCCAGCGCTTTCCCTTCCCTCGCCCAACGGCTGACAGTTCGTCCTAGCATCTAACCTAAACCTCCTCCTTTGCTGCATTTTAAAGTCCTCTCTAGGGAGGGAAAATTGCGGCAAGAGGGTAAATCTGGGCATCTACGGATGCTCTCGAGTGGGGTGCGGCTCCAGCGCCTCCGCTCCGCACTGCTTTACGCAGGAGCTTTGCTCGCGGGGAAGCGCAGTAACCATTTACCTGCCCTCTTAAGCAGAGATGTTGCACTGGGAATCACAAAGGAGAAGGGATTAACGTGCAGGAAAGTTTCAAACCACTTAAAGCGCCTCCAGGGAAGCTCCTGCTGTGCCTATGTTTTTAATTAACACGCTGGTGTCGAGACCACCCTCGGAACTGGAGGACAAAACACAACAGCAGCAACTGGGCTCAATGCGGCCAAATGTTGAAAGCATCTCAGAAATGCAGCAGGCAGCTCTGGCCAGGTTCGGTGAGTGACAACCCATCTGGGCCCGGGGGACTTCGCCTGTGCAGAGATTTTCTAGGAGGGGATAATGCTTTCCCTTACCACCTGAAACCACCCCAAACTTCACGCCGCCCCGTTCGCCTGGCTGCCGGCAGAAATATTTAGACTGCAGTCATCCTAAAGCAAAAAAAAAAAAAAAAAAAAAAGGAAAACATCTGACAGCCTCAGGATCTTAGCTGCAGCCATTAGGTTACGCAGCCTGGGAGATGGGTGGTCTTACATATAAAACGACCGGCTAGACTGTGGGCTGCTCAACCATTTATATGTGAAACCACAACCGAAAAGCTACCTTCTCCCAGCACTCTGGGTCTGGGCTGCAGAGAACAAAAGGCAGGGAATTCAGAGCATAAAATGCCACGCAGCCCTGACAAGGCCCTGCAGCATACCAATGAGAAAGATCAATTTATGCTTTAAAGAGCCCTGTTATTAGGAGAGCGGGTGAAAGACAGTTTTCAGTTTTAATTCTGAATTCCTCCGTTCCCCATCTCGGTGAAGATTTACGCGGCTGTGCTCCTGCAGTTTATTTCTGAGCAGCGCCGCTGACTGTGAGCGTATGTACATACATATATCAATTTAGTAAATGTATGTGCCAGTCTAAGAGCCCAATACGCATCTGCTGCTCCTCAGATCCTGGAAAGGGGGAGGGAAATGTCCTTAATTAGCTGCTATCTGACGAGATCCCGTTGTCCTTCAGACCCTTGCGCTCCTGAGGTTGGCAGGGGCAGCCCGAATCGATACCGCTTGCATATGAGGGAGCTCTTTGTTAGGAAAAGCCTGGCTCCTCCGTAGACCCCCCCCCTCTCTTTGCACGTACCCTGCCAGCGTTCCAATGCTAAAGGCACAGGGCTGAGCTGGGTCTCTTCCCTGCTGATTGCACCTTAAAGGCTCATCGTTAAGGATCTTCGTTAAGCTCAGAGTGAATTTTTGCTCAGATCCTGAGCGCTTAACAGAATCCTGCTCTTTTCCTGCATCTCCTTCCCAAGGTGCAAGGTATTTCGGGTTCTGCCTTTTTTTTTTTTTTTTTAAAATCTTTTTTGAAGTGTAAAGCCAAAGGAATAATAAACCATTAAAATCCGCTCTCGCCAGGCCTCGGACTGCGGGATAGCTAGCCAAAGTCACCCGAGTTAGAAAAATAAAGTCCCATGTAAGCCAGCATATTAAATCCGAGACCACACTTAGTTACCCTACGACATATGCCTTTCATCAGAACAGCACCGTCCCTCCTCCAGCCCCCACAATATGCGCCTGGCTCAGTTTTACGGCAACGGTGGCCTTTGCCTCTTGCCTTTTTCTCGTCATCCTCCGCGGCTTTCTTGAACTCGTGCTCAAAGGAGCTGGCCAGTTCATTGAAGAGTCCCACTTCTTCGCAGTTTTTCAAGAACCGAGTTGGGGTCGGAGTCTGATCTGTTTGGGTTGTAATACCAAGCATCGGTCAAAGAGAGGCTAGAAAATTCATTTTAACCACCTTAGTCCTCTCCGGGGACCCCTAGAAAACGTGGCCTCTGTTTTGGGAAAGTCTGAATGCTTTTCCGCTAAGGTGCGTGTCCTGTTTGCAAAGCAAGTGACAAGTCAGAAAGGGGAAAATAATTTCTTGTTGATTTTGTTTCTCTGTTTAAAACAATAATCATCGCAGCGAGAGGCGTGCAGTGGTTTCTGTGAAACCCCTGCCTGTGGGTCGTGTCCTGTCCCTCCCACCCCGGGGTTTTGCCTGTCCTCAGCTAAATTGCTGCTGCAAGGAATGAAAATCTCCCCGAAACAGCAGATCTTAAAAATACGGAGCGATGAGAAGGGAAACGGCTGATCGGAGCAGCTCCACCGCTGATGTGGAATAGAGCCGGGCAGAGTCGCTTCCCTCTCTGTGTCAGCTCTGTACATTAATGCGCATCCTAGGACAGACAGCTACGTGGGAGTGCTAATAATTACCACCACTGTCCAAAGCAATCCCTCTGGGGCCCGTTTTCCACCATATTAACACGTTGAGTCATGATCTCTCTGGCCATCACCCAGGCTATAAAGCAGAAAGAAATGTCCCCGCTCCCAGCGAGCCTCGTTTTTTTCTGCGTGACGTTAGGTCAGGAGACCAGGTACTAGCGGGAGCCCGGCACGAGCACGTTACACCGAAAGAATCCATCTGGCAGAAAACTACATAGATTTTTAAGCACAAAGAGGATCCCTGGGATAGTTTAGCCTGACCTTCTGCATAAAACATCGGCTGTTTGGCACAGATGCTCCCTGTTTGAGCGCAGTAGCTGTGCTCGAGCTGAAGTGTCTACGGAAAACATCCCATTTGATTTCAAACCGGCCAGCGGTGGAGAGTCTCCCGCAGCCTTCGGGAAGCGACTCTGGCGATGACTTCGCCTTGCTGTTGCAGAATTACGCTTTATTTCCAGCCTGACTTCAAACCCTACCTATTGGTTTTGTTAAAAAAGCAAAGGCCTCCTCTGAGTACGCTTCGGTTCCCCCCAAATCTCTCTTCATTAAGCCAAGAAACTTTGTCAACTAAAGATCTCCGCAGGAGGCTGTTTTTCCAGCGCTTTAATGGCTCTCAGGACTCTTTTCGGACCATTCCCCATTTAGCAATGTCCTTTCGAGCCACGTACGCCAGCCCGGGGCCCAAATCTCCAGCAGAAGTTTTCAGTGTCGCAATGCAAAGCCGTATAACCTCTCTCGTCCTACCCTTCCCCAATTCGTACCTCCAGGAATTGCGGCAGCTCTTCCGCCCACAGCATCACCCCAGAAGTGCACGTTCCCATTTAAATAAGTCTCTCTGCTGCCAGCTATAACCGGCAGAGAGAGAACAATTCTTTATGACTCTCTTTAGCTTAACCACGGAGTTACGGCAAGAGATGTACGATGAATCCTCCTGCTCATTAACACACAGGCTGCTGCCCTGGACTCGGCACAAAGCAAGAGGGAGGGAGAGAACAAGAAAATCCAGCGACAAAATGGTGGCTTTAAAAAAAAACAACAAAAAAGGGCAATAACGCCCTAGATCTCACTGCTCAAAGCCAGCATGCTTTATTGCCCTTGCAGTTCCCCGTCAAGATCTCAGGCAGGGAAAGCCTCTGATAAACAAGCTGCTCTTGCCCTGACCACAGCTAAATAAGTTGGGTTTTGGTTTTTTTGGTTTTTTTTTTCCTTTGTGGTTTACTCCAGAGCAGCTCACTGAGCATCAGCGCAGAGGAGCTGGGAGAGGGGGCTTAGACCTGCCCTTGCTGCCGTTCCTCGTGCTCAAACTGAAGCGTTTCAGCCCAACCCACAGTTTTACCCACGAGAGTTTGAGCGCGGGAGGAGCGTACACCTCTGGGAGCTGCAAAGATGAGGGTTTTTAATGCAGCACCCCTGCTAGAGCAGGAGGGACTTTGGCTGGAGATGGGACCGTACCCCGTTTCTGCTCCCCCATCACCACCTGGCCAATTTACACCCTGGGTTTATCAAGCAAAAGCTCCCCCTCCCCCTGCGCACCCTGTTTAAAAAGGGGCCGAACCGAAGAAAAAACGACTTTTAGGAATCAGAGGTTTCTTTCAGCCGCTGCCCCAAATTCTTCACCATCAACTCCCATTAGCCTGATCCCATTTGAAATTAATTCTCCCTCTGGGAGCCCTCCCCTGGGCTCTGCCCTTCCAGCAAAGGCTGTACGAGCTCTCTTACGATCCTACCCACAGCTACAATTAACTCGGAGCCTTTAAGAAACCAACGGAATTGCTATTTCCTACTCGAACACTGATTTTGGGCTGGAGATGAACCTGGGAAAAGGGTGCCAGGCTCTTACAGCAGACACTTCATTTCCCCTTAGGAACTCTCAAGGCTTCCGAAAACATTTCCTCCTCTCTTCTTGTTCTCAGCAACAGCTTTTTCATCCAGCGGTAACACAAACCTCACGCCCTTTAAGGAGCCCGAAGGAAAAGGGACTGACAAGGCAGGAGAGTATCCGTAACCGGCAATAATCTACTGCCAGACAACAATATACATGTTTTTTTCTCCCCCCCCCCCCAGTCTTATA